TAGTTACACTCGATTGCCAAGCGTGTGGTCGAGTGCATATTAGATAGGCCCCCCCTTTACGTTATTTTATTGCCAAGAGTGTGGTAAAATAATGCGAAACATTGCTATATTGCCAAGCGTGTGGTATAGTAAAGCTTTGATCCTCCGTCGCCGAAAAAAGAATTTCCCGTGATAGTGATGACGTACGTCCCGGTTATTTTCCGTAAGGATAGACCAAAAAAGTGCGCCTGAGAATTGTTTCATCAACCGACGTTACACTTGTATGAGAAATTTTCTTGAAAATTGACACGTTTTTTCAACTTTTTATAACTTTGTAAATAAACATCCTAGAAAAAAGTGTATATAAAAGAAAATGTTTCTTTTTTCATGTAGAATACTGTAGAATTTTTTCAGATTAAAAAAAAATATTTTTTTTTATCCATCTTTCTATGATCGGTCAAAAAAAAAAGTAAAATATTTATCTGCAACGTAAAATTGTCTTGTAAAATAAAAATTGTATATTTCAAAAACTTGTTGTTCCCATTTTTTTTCCTCACAAGAACGTTGTTTTTCAATTATTTTTCATCGCTGTTTTTATAGCCGGTGCAAAAAAAAAATATATATTATACAGGAAACGGTAGTGAGTATACGTGTGTGTGTTCACACCCAGTTATCACAGGCTTATTTAGTAGATACTCAACACGCTGTATACTCAGGTGTTTACAAATAAAGTTATATACGAACGCTCACCATATGAAATGTGGTATCTTCTTAAATATTTCTATGTCTACGATTATGAGCAAACTAGTCGATCGCGAGCCTTTCAAGTGTGAACAACTGTTTGTATAATGTGCAGTGAACATGGCAAAATCGAAAAATTTGTCCGTTCGTGAACGTAATAAGATCATTGCCCTTCATGAACTGCAAATGAGTAATCACGATATTTCAAAGTAGTTGAAAATCGACAGGCGCACAGTGGCTTATAATATTAAAAAGGTCTGTACATCTGGAATTGTCGAAAATAGGCAACGCAAACCAAGCAGAAAAACTACTGCCAAAGAAGATGACTACATTTGTCGAACAAGTTTGCGTAATCAAAAAGCCACTGCTTCTGAACTTACCGCAGATGTCAACAAACATTTAGAAAAACCTGTGAGTGTGAGTACGGTAAAGAGACGTTTGCGAGAGAAAGGACTTTTTGGTCGAGTTGCCGTTAAGAAGCCACTTCTACGATGTGTAAATAAAAAGAAACGCTTACAGTGGGCAAAAAGTCATAAAAATTGGACTATTTCTGATTGGAAAAATGTTCTGTGGTCTGTCGATTCAAAATTTGAAATTTTTGGAAGTAGAAGGAGAGTGTATGTAAGAAGACGGGTTGGTGAGAAATATAATAGTGATTGTTTAGTTCCATATGTGAAGCATGGTGGTGGTTCAGTTATGGTATGGGGTTGTTTTGCTGGATCAAAAGTAGGTGATATTGTGAAAATTGATGGAATCTTAAAGAAAGAAAGTTACAAAAACATTCTACAAAGGCAAGCTGTAACATCAGTATTTCGACTAGTGGGAGCACAGTTTGTGTTTCAGCAAGATAACGGTCCAAAACATACATCCAAATTATGTAAAAATTATCTTTCAAATTTAGAAAGGAAAAAATAGTTGAAATTTATGCAATGGCCAGGCCAGTCACCTGATTTGAATCCCATTGAACTGCTATGGGAAGAGCTCGATCGAACAGTGAGAAAATTTTGCCCAAGCTCTGCAACTAATTTATGGGAAATTTTACAAAGAGAATGGAACAATCTCCAAGAAACAACATTGGACTAACTAGTCGCAAGGATGCCAAGAATATGCAAAGCTGTTATCAAGCATAAAGGAAGGCACTTTGATGAAAAAAAAAGTTTAATTGTTACGTGTAACTATTGTTACGTGTTATTGTTATAAGACGGTGCATTTATTTATTCTAATTTTATTTATTTCGAATGATATTTAGCAAAAAATTTGGTTCATCGTTCTGTCGCATTTGGTTACTTTTGTCTATTTTTTGTTGTCTATTTCTATGTTATGACATCCTTCTAAAAACACGCTAGAATCAAATCTAGAGTGAAATAGCAGATAATCTTCAAGTTTTAGGCTCAATGAAACTTATGTAAAGTTATTATTTCAAATAAATAACTTTCCAGATTAAGCATGTATTTTCATTTGAATCATGACATATCATTATTCTTATTGAAAAACAGCGTTCTTGTGAGGAAAAAATGGGAATAACTAGTTTTTGAAATTTATAATTTTTATTTTACAAGAAGACAATATCACGTTGCAGATGAATATTTTACTTTGTTTTTTTTTTGAACGACCATAGAAAGATGTATAAAAAAAATATTTTTTTTAATCTGTAAAAATTCTACAGTATTCTACATGAAAAAAGAAACATTTTCTTTCATGTACACTTTTTTTTAGGATGTTTATTTACAATGTTATAAAAAGTTGAAAAAACGTGTCAATTTTCAAGAAAATTTCTCATGCAAGGGTCATATTTGATGGACAAAATTTTTTGACGAGTGATTTGGATAGGGTTTGGAAAAAGGAAGAAAATGCTGTGCTCAAAATTTTCGTGAGATTTTTTCCCTAGAATTGGTAAGTTATCAAAGATAGACTGAAAATTTCGGAAATTTTGTTACGTCTCGTGCATCAACTACGAATAGCTAATGAATGAGACGTTCCAATATGTTGACTAGTGGTTGGATATGTCTCACTTATAATAAATGTATGTGGAAACGTATGTCTGATAATTGTACTACCTTGATAATCGTAGCTTTTAATTGTTGATAAAATGTAGCAGGCTCTAACTGCTTGTTGAATTGTATGAGTGTAGCAGGCTCTAACTGCTTGTTGAATTGAATAAATGTAGCAGGCTCTAACTGCTTGTTGAATTGTTTAAATGTAGCAGGCTCTAACTGCTTGTTAAATTGAATAGGATAGGTTGTTGAATAATACTTGCACGATATTACTTTGTAACAGTCGCGAGTTTATTAAGTAAAATGATCACCAATTGTCGGACCGGTGTGTACGGAGTTGAGTCTTACAGGTACTTATTGACTGACTGACGGACTACTGATCAACTGACTGAGTAATTTGTTCATTGCTTTTTATATCTTTTATAGCTCTTGTCAGGTCAGTATTGCGATATTGTGTGACATTTTGTTTTCGCTGATTATAAATTCTTGCGTTTTGGTGACTTAGTTTCGGAGTTTGTTTCGACAGCTTTTTGCTGTCGTGTGAATAGTTTAGCAGTTTTGAATGTGCATATGTTACAAAAAGGATGCGTCGTAAGGCTTAATTTCGGAGAGTCATTTACCTCGTGTTTAGTTAGCTTTTTGCTGACGTGCGAATAGTTTAGTAGCTTTGAATTTCGCGAATGTGCATTTTATAAAAAGGATGCGTCGTAAGACGTAACATTTTCATTGATGAATATTCGATTGAAAAAATTAGAAAACCGATTTCATAAATTTTCCGATGTATACTATTCGAAAGCTCTTGAAAAGAGCTTTCAAATGCGCTCCCGCTCGTCTCTCTACGTTGATTCTGACCAAAAATATGAAACTTCCAAGTTCAAGCAATTTTGCTCGAGGGGGGGTAAAAGTGACTGACCGGCAATGTACGTTGTCTTCATTCATGCACTTTATTATAACTGTATCTTTATTTTTATTTATATGTAACGTCATAGTTTGTAGTGTTTTATCCTTGGTACTCAATGGGTACATTGGTAATAATGGGCTACAACGTTTTGAAGATTAGTATTGTCGTTATTATTTGTTTTTTTAACTATTAATCTTGATACTCTTTTTGCAGTAGGTATTATGATAACTTCAGCATATGAATTTTTGAATAGTGTTGTAATTTTATTTTGTTTTTCGTTCAGTGATTGGTTTTTTTCTTTTGTTTCATTATGTAGTTCTTTTAATAACTTGTTTTCAATTTTAAGAGCTTGCAGTTTTTCGAAATTTTCATATGTTGTTGTTTTCATAATTTGTCTATATTCTATTTGTTTTTCGTGTATGATTTCATTTAATATTCCTTGTTTTATCTTTTCTCTACTTACAAGTTTGAGTTGAGCTATCAGTTGTCTTGCTTCCTCACTCAAGTTACTACATGGTAGATTGATAGGCTAGGTTAGGATGATCTCGACAGACCACGAATGACACTTTTGAACACGAATTCACTAGTGCAATCGAAATTCTCACACCATACGCAAACCACTACACCAACTTTTGAAAACGGATAAAATTTATAATATTTGTGTAGAGTCGAGTGGTTTCGAACCGTACAACGTCATGATGACGAAATGAATATTATATTGATCAGTTTATGTTTCTTTAGTCTGGTAGAGGTGATCATTGCCGTGAAAAGTTTGCTTAAAATCTTTGAAAATTATCCCTCCCCCCCCAAAAAAAATTACATAAATAAATAAAAATACTAATGGCTTCACATTTCGTAACAGCATTTCGCTTATATGGCTTCCAACCTCCTCAGGTCTGAATTAAAGAAAACGTACAAAAGTTACAATTGAAAATGAGAAGGTGATGCGGTTATCAAAACAATATTGTACAATATTATAAAACATACCAATAAACTAAACTATATCATTTTTTTAACGTTGGTGTGTTTCATAATTTTGTACAATAATGTATAGATAACCGTAGTTTTCTCTAATTTTTAATTTATCTTTTGTACGTTTTTTTCACTTAAGATCTAAGAAGGTTGGAAACTATACCAGTGAAATGTTATTACGAAAGATGGAGCCATTTTTATATTTATTTATTTTTGTAATTTTTTTGGATCACTCTTAAGAATCTTTGTTATTTACTTATAACTTCATATTTATTTCTATTTTTGATACATAGTTCCTCTAAAAATTGAACAAAGGCATTGATACTTTAATTTTATAACATTTAAATATTAGAATACAGTATTTTTTTAAATTAATACTTTTTTTATATAATAAAATCTTCAATTTCTTTCAGAGTGGAGTTCCAAGAACTGGATATCGAGGAATAGTTACTTTTTATTACAAAAAACGAAGAGTATATTTGGCTCCGAATAAGAACTGGTCTGGATACGATATATCTTGGAGTTAAACTATTTAATTTATAAAATCCTTGGCGCTGGTCGCATCACAGATAAGAAAGAATTTATGAACCTTTGAATTTCTTAATAAATATTCAATAAAAATTTTATTTATCGTCAAATGATTCTTTGGTAGATATTTTTAAGCTACTTTGCGGATTTTATCCTCCATGATTTATGTATTAAAATTTTTTAATTTTTGCTAAAATGTATACAACTCAAATAAATATACTTCGAAATTGAATTAAATGAGTGACGTCCCAACAAAAATTGTTAAGTTTAAATTTGATAGAATTTACTTTGAGATAAGATTTTTATTATTTGAGATTATGAGATTTTTATTAATATTCTTTTTTGAATGTATCATATGTACCAAAATTAAAAGTTAATTGAAACCCCTAAAATTCATAATACGTAGTTAATCTGTTTTCATAAAAATCTTACGCTGTAATATCAAAATAGTCTGTATCTAATACTTCTAAAGTAAATATTTTATAATATTTGCAACGGTAGTCGATTCAATTAATCGAACCGTTCGCGATTCTGATTCTCGCGCGTTACTACGAACAATTAAGAGAGAGAGGGGGCTCGCGATCATTTGAATAAACAGTTACGCCTCAGCTTTTACGCGAGTTAACCGACGATATTGTTTTGCACCGTGTTTCGCCGTTATTAAAGACTTTCTGGGACAATTACGTGCGTGAGTGCAACGAAGGTATTGTAGCAGCAATTAGCAGCAGTGCAGAAGCAGTATTGCAGCAGATTAAAGGCAGAGTGAGACAGCGCAGCTGATAAATAGGAGGGCAGTGGCAGTTGATATATTTCATCAACAATTACGGCTGATCACCGTAATTGCACTGCAGGGTAGGTGCACCTCCCGTAATTATTGCGTGACAAAATACATTTGGTATTTTGTCAAACTAGATAACGATTTTTTGTATTCGCGCCGAGCGTTAGTTCGCGGTAAATTTTGAATCTTTGCTCTCTCTCTCTCTCTCTCCCTCTCTCTCTGCCGGTGAGTAACGACACGTACTATCTATGTTCTCCGCAAACCTTCAATAATTTAAATATTTCTACGCATCTCTTGAGCGGCACATCTGGCAGGTGAGATCATCTGGTTGGCCTCCTTCACGCTGGAATAGATTTCCTAGTTTAAACCTAAAATAAACAGGCCACTGGTTGATTTTCATTTCTGCTCTCACAACCTAACCTCACTTGTCAACTCAAATCAAGACACACACCTTCCATTGGCTTACTTGCTCACCATGGAGAACGAGCCTGCACCAAGAAATCAGCATTTTTACAAGCTACTTTAATCAACATGCACTCCAGCTTTATTTACGGCTACCTGCACATCCTGCAAATGACCAGCTAACATTCAAAATTGTCTAAGTATAGCTCCACTGTCTTTCAGCGTACATCTCAGTCTGTCTGAAATTTATCTACAAAAGTGTCGCATACTTAAATCATACTTAAATCATTCTTTAACGTAAAATTTGTGAAGTTTTTGTTGCTTATAAACAATACATATTCAAGTGAATTGAGTCAACGATAACAAACAGCCGATCATCGCTCCTTTTCTCATTTAGCATAAATTTCAAAAACTAAAGCGAGTAAATTCATGGTCGCGCCGAGTTATCATCTGCGTCTGTATTAGACAGCACTCGTATTCGTTCGTTTTTCATCTATTTTATATCATCTGTGGCAAAGTGTCTCATCTCATTACATTTTATATTCTTGTCATCGTCTTTTTGTCTTAAGTCTATCCGTTTCAAGTTCCATGTAATGTTTACATCCTGTTCGAATTTAAATCCGTTGTTTACATTTTGTAATCTCGATGCTATCGTCCGAGTGTATTTCTACCACAGCGATCTATGTCACTTGCGCTATCATACATAAGCTTCTATACTCTGTCTATTACTCTCAGTCGATAATCATTTAAATTGCGCCAAATTCAAATATCTTAAATCTTAATTTCATTTACATTGCTTGTTTCGTGTAACGGTCTCGTTCGTTTTTTGACTTGAATATGCTTGCATAGTCTTTCGTACTTGTCTGATTGCTTTATCTCTCTGTCACACGTATTCAAATTCAGGTCAAGAGATTTCTCATTTCAATTTTACATAATTATCAAACCGTTTTCGCATAAAAATTTTTCTCTTTCTACCCATTGTACACTAGTTTATATTTATCTCCGGATTGATTTTATAATATTTGTCTCATGGTCTTGTCCACTTGCTCCGTGTGTGGCGATGCACTGAGTCGTCAAACCGACAGAGTCTTGCAGTGTGTTCATTGTGCCAAACTCTCTCATAGTTTTTGCTCGGATTTAGCACTCTCCTCTGATCCATCTGTTTTCTCTTGTCGCGACTGTTTGTCTGTTCCAATTTCCACAACCATTCCAAATCCCACTGCTCCAAATCTTATCCCTTCTGTCACATACTCGTCCTATAACACCACAGATTCTCTGGCTTCCACTCAACCTGCTCAAAATCGCAAGCGTATTGCCTCGCCATATTCACCATCTTCATCTCGAGTCACCAAGCTCCTCTGTCCTGCGAATCCCTTGTCTACCAGCCCTTCCACTCTTTCATCACCAGCTTTACCTGACAAACCACTAATTCTTCCTCACCGTTCCAGCCCCGCCATGGATAACGCTGCTCCGGCTTGGTTTTCTCGATTTGTCGAGAATGACTTTAAGGCCCTTCGTAGCGAAATGCGTGCTGGACAGGCCTCTGTCCTCTCCAGGGTGGAGCGCGTCGCTGACGATGTGAAGACGTTGAGGTCCTACCTGGGTTTTAGGGATAGATGTGAGCTGCTGATTTTGGGCCTTCCCAACGAGTTTTCCGGAACGCTGGAGGACGCCGCTGGGTTGCTTTTTGATGCAGTGGGCTACTCAAATGCCCGAAACCACATAGCCTCCACCAGAAAATGGACGCCTTCTCGCTCTCCCCCAATACAAAATGACGTGGCTTCACCGGGGCCCTCCAGTTCTCTCACAACAACAGCTTTTGTGGTCCGAATCGACTCTACTGTCTCTCGGGACATCCTGATCGAGAGCTCGAAGAGGCTTGCTGGCAAGACGGCGAGAGACGTGTTTGGTTGTGGTTCAGGAAACCCCATTTTCGTTCGTCAGTTGCTGCCTCAACCCCTGCATAACCTGTTTGTCAAGGCTCAGGCCCGTAGTCGTGAGCTTGGGTATGCCCGCCCCGTTATCTCCGGCATGATTATCCACATGCGTGAAAGTCTTCGAGATCCACTCATCCCTGTACTCTCTGAAGGCGACCTTGATCTTTGTTCGCCGCGTCCTGCTCGAAATGGCAGGCCATTACGGGGTCCTCGTCCTATTGACACGTCCACTCATGCTACAGCCTTGAGGGCTTCAAATCATCCCCCGGAAAAATTGCGCTTCGCTCCCCGATCGAGGCCACCGGTCTCATCCTCTAGTATTGCTCACACCACTCATATTACCTCCGCACACTCAAATTCAGCTACCAATTGTTTTAGCCCAACAGTCTCACAATTCCCCGTCCAACCAACAAATCACTCCTCAAACCCCCCTACCACATCATGACGCCATTCGGATAACAAATCAGCAAACTCATCCACTGCTTTCTCTCTAGGCCACATAAATGTCAACCGTCTAAACTCTCCTCGTCATTTCGCTCTCCTTGAAAACCACGTACAGTCCACCCATTATGATGCTATAGCTATCACTGAGACTTTCCTCTCGCCTGACATTTCTGATTCTCATCTTGCCCTTGACAACTTTAATTTCTACAGACTTGATAGGATAGGCAAGCAGGGGGGTGGTGTTGGCATCTATGTTCGATCGCACCTCAGTTTCGACATCTTGACCGATTCTTGTTTCGACTTCTTCAGACCCATCTTTTGATAACACACCTGAATTTATGATCGGCGAGATTAAATCGCATCTTACAAACTGCTGATTGCTGTGGTCTATAGGCGCCCTGCTGCTTGCTCTCCCTCCCACTTTTTCAACTGCCTTTCAATCTACCTACCCCTTTATAACAACGTTATTATCACCGGCGACTTTAATGCTGACCTCAACTCTCAATTTCTTCCTGATACCAAAGCTTTACTGTCTCTTCTCGATCTTCATCGTCTCCACATCGTCTCTACACTACCTACCCACCATTGTCTTGACCAACATCCGCCCTCTCACACCACCCTTGATCTTTTCATTGTAAACGACCTTAATGCAGTCCAGGTTTTTAGCAAATCCACTGCTCCATTCATAGCTGGTCACGATTTCATTTCTCTAATCTACACATTTAAATCCACAACCCCTGCTCAAAAAACTATCCTCACACGAGGACTGAATCACGTGGATCGGTCGGCTCTCGAATCAGCACTGCACGACGGTTTCGCCAATTTGCCCGCCCTACAAACAGCATTATATAGTTCCCCACGAAATCTCAGCCACAAACTGACCAATTAAATAGCCAAAACCTTGCCTGCCTAGACGACTCAGTGCGTCAGTTCAGCGAGGCTCTCCTTAAATCCTTTGACCTTGTTGCTCCTCTCAGACAGATTACTCTGTCGTCGAGCCGTAAGCCATGGGTCAGTCCCAGCATTATCTCGTTAATGAAACAGCGAGATCTCGCTTACCAACTGGCCCGTTCCACCCACTCTCCCAATGACCTTTCCACGTACCGCAGGCTCAGAAATGACATCTTAAATAAACTCGACACCGCCAAAAACTCCTTCATCGCCAATAAGATTTCTTCTGCCAGGGATTACAAAGCAAAATGGTGTGAATTGCGAAACCTGGGCATCACCAAAAGATCTCATCCTTCCCCCCTCAAGTTTTTTTCCCCAAATTCCCTAAATTCCCACTTTGCAAACATAGTAAACTCTGCTCCTCCCATTACATACGACTCCTTCAATATACTCTCATCGGTTACTCTAAATTCCACTATTCCATCCATCATCTTTGACCTTTGTCCAGCCACACGACAGGAAGTTTTGGATGCTCTGAATGTATCAACATCCGGGACTCAGGGATACGATGGCTTATCCACTAAAATGATTAAACTTGCCTCATCCTCTTGCATCTCCTCTCTTACTAGGCTTGTAAATCAGTCCTTGACCTGCGGCCTGTTTCCTACTTCGTGGAAACGCTCTCTCATTACTCCATTGGCCAAGATACCCTCGCCCGCTTCCTTATCGGACACTAGACCGATTGCGAGACTATCTGAGGTCTCTAAGGTGTTGGAGAGACTGGTCCACA